AGTTTCAAGAGATTTCCAGTGAACCATTTTTCTGCATGGTTTTCTACATATTTCATGGATGTAATTAGGTTTTGACAGTTTTTGTCAGATCGATATTCAACAACTTAAATATCGTTATTCGATATATTTATCGATATATCGATATTTTTTCCCAGCCCTAATCATGATTGAACTATCAATACACTCCTATATATCCTGAATATCGATATATATCGATAAATATCGATATATCGATAAATATCGATATATCGAACTTATCGATAAATTTCAACTTATCGATAACCGATAACTGAAATCCAATATCGCGCAGCCCTACTCCAGTCCGCCTCTGGTTACCCCTTAAATATTAGTGCCTATTCGAATATGTATTACCTCTCGCAAACTATTATTTAGCCAAGCCAGAGATAAGTTACCCACGTGGGTAACTCATCTCTGGCCAAGCTAACCCCTTATAAATCGATAGGAATGGACTAACCATCTATTTTATCGTGATATGGTATGGAGAAACCATCATCTATTTTATCGTGACAATATAATTTGCTAGGATATTGAGATGGAATGTTCTATGGATATACTCGTGAAGCATTCTATGAACATCTAATATTCTTTGGAATATTCTGAGGGAGGTTTGTTTGGAAAGTTGTGAGAATATTCGTAGAATATTCTGTGCTGTCTGGGAACTACCTTAATACGCCACTGACGTCGATTATTATTATAATTCGGTGTATATTTTCCGCTATTACTTATAATTTTCCGAAGGTTGGGCCCTTCCAGACAGGGTTGGTCTAAATGGGTAGGGCCGCACTCCGAGCCCGTCTTCTTGCCCGATTGATTTTTTGTCACTTTGTTTATCTTCTTGTCCTTGGTTATTTTTATCGCGAACGCCTTTCATAGGCGTCCACATATCAAAATACACTTCTCCAAGAAACTAACTCACCACCAAAAAGTAAACAAAAGTTCAGGAAACATTTTCGTCAAAAGTACCTACTTTAAAACAATTCAAATGATTGAACTCCGCGCGATTGTGCATGGGAATTTGAACAGAGTGACGTCATTAAATTTCATTTTGATCCCTAAATTTTTTTTATTAGTGCCATTCGATAGTACACCTCGAGCTTCCTCAGTGCTTGAAATAATTGCACTTATTTCATGCCTCTGGAACATCCAAGGAATATTCTGATGTGAATATTCCAGTAATCCATTCCGAAGTAATATACAAGAAATATTCCAGCAAGAATATTTAGAAGTGAATATTCTCAGAATATTCTAGTTGGATTGTTCAGGAAATATTCAGGTACTAATGTTCCAGGAACATCCCGAACTGAATATTCTGTGTTGTATTTTGATGAAATATTCTCAACTGAATGTTCTGTGGTGTATATTCATGAAGTATTCCCAACTAAATATCCTGTGTGTATATTCATGGAATATTCCATACTCCAATGTTTTTCAACACATGAACACCAATCATCATTTCAGAGATGTAATTATCAAACATTATCAATCATATTCCGTAAGGAGATTTTGAAACGAAAATTGTTTTTGACCCGATTTTGAACAACGCTCTCACAAGAAATTGATATGAACATGTACAGTGATGCTCAAATTAAAAGTAACGACTCTTGGTCGAATTGAAATATTTTTGTCTATGCACATGTACTATTCATTGCCTAGGAACGAACCGTTTCCCTCATTAGCATTTTATGACCTGGTTCGCGCTGTAAAGGTATTAGAGGGTATACCCAGCGGTATACCTAGAGGTGTTATAATAATAATTATTCGAACGTGAAAAATAACAATGACAGAGTTCTTCTTTGGCAACTACAATGAAATAAATAGGAATTTATCTGGACTGCTTCACTTTGATTCAGTTTTGTTGAGAACGATATAATATAATTAATTATAACTAGAATCCAATCTTGGAATGAAGGGATTTAATTTCAAACTATACAGGATGTAATTCAATTTATGGCTAAAAATATAGGACATGGTTCCTCAGCTCATTTTGAGAAGAAAAGTTGATATGAACATATGCCCTAAACCTCTCAACTTCCGAGCTATAGGGTGTTGGAATTTTTATGAAAATAAGCATTTTCTTATGATAACTTCGACATACTATTCTAGATATTCTCATGAAATTTGGCATGCACCAACTGAAACAATGTGGTGTAGTTTGTAGGTAAGATGTGTTTTTGTCTAATTTTTATTGAAGTGAAGTCGTTGATTGAATTTGCCAAAATGGTTTCATCATTTTCAAATATGTAACTCAAATTATTGCAAAAGGAATGAGAATTGCATTTATTTTTTAGAAAAATCTCCAGTATTTACATCCCATACGGACACGAACTGGCCATCAGTGCTTAGTAGGTGCATGTCAAATTTTATGAGAATATCTAGAACAGTATCAAAGTTACTATAAGACATTTTTTTTCTTAAAATTTCAACACCCTATTGCTTTAAAGTTAAGAGGTTCAGGGCATATATTATGTTCATATTTATGAACTTTTCTCAAAATGTCTACATCCTATATTTCTAACCTTCAATTGAATTACACTGTGTATAACCAGGAGAAAAAGATCGATAAAATTGTAATGAAACAATAAAGATATAGTACTGAATTTTATGATTTCACGTTCATTCAGGTAACCCATTCATTTTCAATATTATGCTGAGTTGAATAAAACTCTGAAAATTTTTGGGTAAATCCGAGGATGAATCTGGCATAGCGCACTTACGAATACGGAAAGAAAATAGAATTCCCTTATTTCCAATAGAACACCACTTTTTTTTTTTCATTATTCATTCTACATATTACTCTGATATAAACCATAAAATATATAAGGTAATTCATTACTATTTTCAACTGTTTCAGAGTAATAACGATTTTTGAGAATATTTTTGAAAATGATTTTCTTTCAAACTGAAACACTGAAACTCTTGATTTCTTACAAAGGAGAACTGGTTCACATAAAATGCTCTTTCGAGTGGAAATATGAATTTCATAAACAAGGATATCTACAGTGTGATTATTATCAGCATGCAGATCATAGATTTCAAAACCATAATAACATTTTATACTGTTGAATATATAAGCACAAAGAAATATCGATAAGTGGAAAACTTCTATAGTTATTTTACTCGGCTATAATTATAAGGTATTATTTTTTGATCATGAAGGATTTAATAAATTTATTTATTTATATTGAAAAAAAAGTCAAAAATACACATCAAACATTCTGGTATTTAACAGTGCACTGCATGTTATGTTCTGTGACCACGTGCTATATATACAGTGTCTCCACTTTAAGAACTTTACCACCGCCTGTAAAATCCGTATTATCTTATCTGATCGATTTCGAAAAACTTTTTTTTTTGTATAGGTATTTGAAATATCCATCAAACAAAAAAAGTGATTTAATTCTTGGACTGTTATCGTGGCCATCAACTGCGACCAATTTTATTGACCCATATTTCGTAAATTACTATTGGGGATTTTATTTTTTCACTAAAACTAATGATAGATTCTGAACCTAGATCACTCAATGTAACCCTGTACCGATTTTCATCATCATAAAACAAAGAGTGTCCGAAAAATCGGATTAATAGATATATTTTTTGTATACTTGATCAGAAAATGTAGTACTGTGGTATGTTTGGGAAGAACTAATGTCAAATGGATATTTAGGACTACTTCGAACATATCAGCCCCGATTATTATCATTCAAATATACAATGTGTCTGAGAAAACAAAAAGGGTGGGTAGGCAATTTTTTCATTTACCAAAAAATAATAAACAAAAAAATTCCCTGTATTTTATGATGATGAAAATTAGTACAGGTATGTTCCGAGTGATCTTGAATGAGAATCCGTCATTATTTTCTAGGTATAGAATCATGCATCATGAAATATTGTCTACTTATTCGGTTCGGTTCAGTATCTCCTATGTCCTTTGAGATATCAAATTGATGACACAACACTGTTCTGAAGCAAAGTAATATTTTTGTGATTAACGGACATGGGAGACACTGAACTTTATCAAATCGATCAATAACCCTTTTTTTCAAATTTATCTGCACGATTTATCGAAGCTTAAGTATTATACTTTAAAAATAAAATTTCTGGAAGTAGGTAGATATTCGCGTTTCATGATAATTATGTGTATACCGTTTTCATATCGCACATGCTGATGAGAATTATTAGTTCTTATATCAAAAATAGGTATTCAGAGAAAAATAACTCTTGAGAACGATTAAGAAATATGATTTCATGGGAAAAATAATTGGAGGATATACTAACGACAAACTTCAATTTAAAAAAAAATTAATTATACCGATGCCGCTTTATTCAAGAAGTACTTCAACTATATCTATCAATCCATAGAATCAACTAGAATCAAACAATGAATAACCATGAGTCAGCTTCATAAGATGAAGCATAAAATATTACTCTAGCGATGTGAATATTAACCCCAAATCTTAGAAATATTCAGATATCTGACTATCTCGTACCACAACTCACCATAAGAAATAAGTGATTGAAACAGCGGGCGGTTGGAATAGATATTAGTCTGGGTGCATAAACTGAAATTTTAAAGGGATTTTCACAGAAGTCGTTACTTTTAATTTGAGCCCCACTGTACATACAACAATTATTATTCAATTCGATTACTGGTCTAGTGCTAAAGGCGTTGCTCTGATAACCTGGAAGTCACGAGTTCGATTCCATCTTTATAATATGTTAATTGCAATATTCCAGGAACATTCAATATAGAATATTCTGTTGGACATATTCAATGAATATCCTAGGAATGCCCATTTGCATATTCAGAGAATATTCCACAGATATTCTATATTCTAGAATATTTCAGATTATTCCTAATCCAAAAAGAATATAGAGAGATTCATGGAATATATCTGGTGCTGTTTGGGATAATTGGTCCGCCCGCTTTACGGTACCCCTGTTTTTTCGTTATCTGAAAATCATTTTGAAAACTTTTTTAGCTGACGTCATCGTTAGTATAGAATGCCGCGCATGGGCGAAAAACATCGTATACAGAGGGGGCAGTCTGAACAGGGCCGGGTCCATCACTTTCGAGGTGCAAGTGGATAAGGCCTACAATCCTCCAGAGCAACTTTACCAATCCAAATATGAAAATGGTACTATCAACATAGAGACTACTACTGTCACTAGTACTACTAGTAACAGTACAGCGTTGCCTGCTTAATTTGTTTTTTTGACAGTGAAAGAGTGTACTTACATAAGTAATATTCTTTCAATCTGAACTAACTAAAATATTTCACTAGCACTGAACTGAATCGTTCTTTCGACTGACGTTCATTTACAATGTATGTCAACTGATTCGATTCAGTTCACGTGAAATGTGTCAGTTAGTTCAGAATGAAAGAATATTACTATATTTATTTTTCAAGTTATGAAAATTTGGTTGTGCTATCTAGTTGAGTAGTTGTCAGTAGGTTGAATTTATATACAGTGTGGTGGCCCTTGAGTGTACTTAGAAGTACAGAAATTTCCTAAAACCAGTTTGATTTGTTTTTCAAATTATTTGAAGAAACTAATCAAAATGAACGACACTTTATCATGACCTCGTTTTCTTCGCTACAAGTCGGCGTTTCCAAATTTGAAACCAGAAACCATATTCAACTCATTTTTTTTAATACGGTCATGAATTTTTCATTGCATTTTTCTAACGTTTGGATAGCCCAAAAGTTATGAGCTCCACAAATTTTTGTTTTCGCATGTTTCGTTACAATCGTTTATAGTTTCGTATTGACTATCGATAAAAATACAGAAATTTGTGATATCTCACTGCTTTTGAGCTATCCCAAGATGAGAAAAAATGAAATGAAAAATCTATTTTCGTATTTAAAAAAAATAAGTTGACGATGGTTTCTGGAAGACAAAACGTCGGATTTCAAATTCGATTACGCCAACTTGTGGGGAAAAAAAGATTAATTTCTTCAAGTACCTAACAAAAATAATGAATGTTTTAGGGAATTTCTTGTTTTTCGGATATCTCCGGAAGTATTCGGAGTTTTTCGAGTTTTTAAATGACATAAAATAGCGCAACTTTGCCATAATTTAACCTATCCTTTTTCTGTTACGGTTTACAAGATGCCAATTATGATCACCCTGTATAATAGTGGATTATTTACTTCAAAATATCACAATTTGGGTCAACTTGCCTAACATTTTAGAACATATATTTCGTAATTACTCCGATGTTTTTGAACATGACAATACACATGAACTCTTTTTTGGGTTTTTTGGGTATGAGGAATCATAACTTGGATGTATATTTGAGGGATTTTAGGAATCAGCCACCTAAAATTCATTTATTATGACTAATATAAACGTAGCAGTCGTTGAAGTATGGAAAAAAACATTCAGCTGTAAAAATAGTACATTGTTTTATTAGGATCAAATGTGACACTATGCCGAGCACGCAAGTCAAACAATTTTTTTTCTGCAATCGGAATAATCGATATTTAATTAATACAATTTTGAGCATAACAGTGTCAAAGCAGCAACACATCAACTTTCATCAGACACGTTTGTAGTTCCTAGGAGTTAAACTTCAACTTTTAGCTCCTAGACAGTGAAAGTGTTGCCAAGCAACATACATACTAATCATTTTATTATGTCAGTAAGAGAAACGTCCACTTCAAGAGCTAATTTCGGAACAGAAATGGACGATTTTTGAGCCGATTGCAGAAAAACATTATTTATGTCCTACTCTGTCAGTATGTCCAAGCATAAATTGAATGATAATTACCTATTGTGCAATTGATTCCTAACATGTGATTATCTCGAAAACTGTCAAGGAAAACTTTTTTATGTTGAGATGCGGTGTCTAATATTTATCACAAAATAGCTTATGAGCTCTCTTAAAAATACATCTGAGTGGATATCTAATTATAATTTTTTATACTCGAAAATCCTTAGATGTATTCATGTCCAAAAACGTAGAAAATATTGCAAAAATGTTGATCTAAATTATTAGCGCAAGTAGGCTCAAATCGTAATATTCTGAATTCAAGAATCTACTATACATAATATACTTACCTGAGTACAAGTACTTAGGGACCATTCTGCATGAGTTTTTTTGAAATATGTTTCATCGACCATTCATATATTTGACATAGGTACTATAACTTAATTTCAACAACGAAGACAATGATTTGTCGAAAATAATTTATCGCCACAAATTCACTTTTTGATACCGAGCTCTGAATTGCCAACTGAAAAAAATATTTAGATTTCACTTTGCAACATTAACGAATTCACTGGATTGTGACGTAACTTTTATATCTAACATATCCCTACTTACTGCCACTATTATACACACAAAAAAATAGTATTCTGAAAATTATTATAGGATATTATACTAAAAAAATTATGGCGGCGTAGGTACATTATTTACTTTGTTTTGATTGATTAAGTATTTATTTAATTATATGAATTTCGAAATCTAATGAATATGAAACTTTCATCATCATTGATTTGTAATTTTAAACTCCAAAATTGACAACTCTGTTTTTATTATTTATTGTTACCTGTGAATGTTGTTTGATTATTTTTATTTTGCATTTAAAATGTATGTTGTATCTAAAGTATATATTCAGTTGTAATGTAATGTTTTCCATGACATTCATATTTAATCCCAAATTATATTATCCATCATATTTATGATTTAATCCTTATGAAACGATTGAGTTTTTTTAACTTACAATTAATTGTTCAATGTTCATTCGGTATATATTTTCCTTAGATTCATTCCTGGAAAAATTTAAACAACCGTATAATCACTTAATTATTTGATGCATACATTTTCGGTGGTCCTCATTCGTGTAGAAATGAAATTGACAAAGTTATTGGGAATGAGATATGTACTCCTTAGATTATTTCACATATATGTGGTTTTAATGGGAGTACATTTCCAGTAATAAAACAGCAAATTATAAATTTTCACTAATGAGAATCAATAATCCTGCGTATTCAGGTGAAAAAAAAAAAAAAAAAATTCCTCACAAAACAAAATCGAACGTGTGTGAGAGAATATTGTAGGCATTAAACCGGTTTTGACACTTCCAAAAGATAACCGTGAAGTTGCATTTTCCATTTTCAAATACCTTTTCCCGTTCTCAAGATATAGCCGTTACTCTTTTCAAAATTGTCACCATGTTTGATTTTTGAATTAGTTGCAATAAATTATGTTATTTTCATGACATTTTTATTTTTGTTACAAGCTGTATATACATAGGTTTTATTTCTTTCAAGTCCAGCTAGAGTTTATATCTAATGATAATATTAGAAATACCTACCTACGAAATATTGGGCCAATTCAGAATTATCAGATATATCAGCATGGACAGAATTGTTGTAATAAATATATATTTTAATGTTTATGAATTTATATGAAGGTTTTGGTACCAGTGGTTTTTTTCTCTAGGTACCTACCTACTGAAACTCCTCTAATAACTATATCAATAAAGTATGAGGTATTAAAATAATCATATTCCAAAATTTACCCAAAATACAACAATAATATTTTGAAAAGCCTGAATACGAATTTTGGTAACTCCATAGTGTACTTCAGAATACCTATTCTGCAAAAATAACTAGCGATAGCGGAAGTGGATATTTCATCATACAGGGTGTTTTCGTGATTGTAGCGATACATCGCAAGAAATAAGGAAGAAACTTCATGGATATAATCATTTATTTAGTCGAAAAAAAGCAAGATATTGAATTTTCAAGTTTGCCTGCAATGTTTGTTGATCATTGATTAGATATGAACAGCAAAACCCTAACCTACCGTTAGCATTTTGCAATATTTTCACCTTTATATCGATGCCCTTTATTTTGTATCCTCCCGATTTCGGAAACATCCATGATATATGAACCATAATAGTTATAAGTTAAATTTGTTCAATGAATAACAACCCGCCAATGGATTATTTTTGTAAATCTACAGTGAATATATCATCTATATATCCATAGTGTTGTAGAGAGCTTTATGTAAATTGTGATCATCACAGAAAGGAGTGATAAATATTGAGAACAAAGTGCACATTATTTATAATGAAGAGGATCATAAGAATATAATATTTTTGTCACATATTGAAGCAGATGATGATATAAAGATTGTATTTTCCACAAAATTGTTTTTTTAATGTGCGAGCTTCCAAATATGGAAATACGGAGTAGTCCAAGAGACGTTTGCAAATTTCAACCGTCATCTGATAACAAAATTCCGCAATGTTTAAAAATCATCCTGTACATATATACAAAAAAATCTAACAAACGGTTATCGACATATTCACCCGTTTCCATACTTTTGATTAACCCTGTATAACATTTTGTTAACAGATGACGATCGAAATTTGCAGCCGGTTCTCCTATGCTGCATTTTACCGTTGATTGATATATTACGCTTACGCTTAATATATCAATCAACGATTTTACTGAGTCTAAAATCAAAACCCAAATGTACCAAAATGTCATTTTAATAAAATATGCAAAAGCTGTTAACATAAATAAAAACTTTATAAATAGAAACACATATTAGGTCAACACATAACTAATTGAATAAATCATTCAAGCATTATTTTGTGATCCACTGGACCTTGCTTTCAAAGATTCTTCGGACGGCGATTCCTTGAACAGACTAGAAGACAAATCAACGGCAACATACAGGCCGCACAGTAACATAGGCCCCATTATCGCCCCTTCCACGCCAAGACAGAATATCCCTCCTGCTATCGCCAGACCTGTCAAGTATGGATGCCCCCCACCTTTGATTTCCTTGTAAATTGTAGTGTCTACTATAGAAGTAGGGAGAAACTGGAAAGCAGCAAACAAAATCGCAGAAACACCCCTCTCTTGTGATAGCCACAAGTCCAGAACTGCTGGTATACAAGCCCAGTAAGTACCCAGAAAAGGTACAGCCCCTAGTATGGTAGCAAAAGCTGTAGGTAAATAAACGATTTTGACACCAAAGAGGTTATGTATGAACCAAGTCCACATCCCGTAAAACGTAGCCATCTTGAAGGAGGCAGAAAAAACGCCATTGACAGCACCTTCTAGTGCATTTCCAATCCGTCTGCCAGTAGGTGAGAAATTTGTCAGTATTTCCACAGGTTTGTAGAGGTCGCCACTAGAATTCAGCAGGTAAAACAGAGTGGTTAGAAACACCACAACATTTAGTATGAAATTCAGTACAGCAGAGCCACCTCCTAATATAACTGATAGAAAAGTACTCATAGAGCCTAGGATTAGAGTTATGTTTCCCTTCAAGATTCCCCAAACTGATTCCAGTAGAGACATAAGGGTACCTATGTTCTGCTTGCCAAAATCCATGAGTCCATCTAGGTTTAACATCTCTGGAGATTTCTGAAGGTCATTGACAAATGTCTCCCATGAATTTCTCACTGCATCTTCAGTCACACTAGGACCATAAGAGTCATTTGAAGACATCCAGTTTTGGTAGACCCTGTCCCACAGCTCTAAGACTTGCTTCTCCAGTTTTTCTGATTTGGCATGATCCACACCAGACATCATGGCCTTGACAGCTTTTGAAATGCCTTCCCTGCCATACTGATAAGCATTGTCCAAGATTGAATCCATGGTGTCATCCCATGCTGGAGGCAAAAGCTGTCTCAATTCAGGATTGTGGACCACAGTTTGGTTGATGAGGTTACCTGTCATTTGGGCTAGCATTATGCCTTCTGCATAGATTTGCAGTACTATGAATACAGAGGCGCAAATTAGGAATATGATAAGGCCAAATATAACCACAACACTTGCTACTGTGTCTATGCTCTCTCTGATTCCAGTTTTGATGGCCTGGTTGATTCTATGTGCAGTGTGGTAAATGCCTCTTATAGGAACAGGTACCAGAGCATCATGTCTCTCTTGGCACCAATTCACTATTATATCTAAAATGATGTGGAATTTCTCAATCAAACAGCTCCATAATCCAATATACAAGCCCAAATGTTTTATGAGGTAAAATAATATTGGCAATGGTAACAGGGGAAGGAGCATGATATTTTTCCATAAGAGCATTAGGATGCAAGCCCAGAATACTGAGTATAAGTAAAAAGTGCTTCCATATGTTTCAGTATCAACTAGACTGGAACTGGAAAAATTCAGATTCAGTTGTTGTCCAAGTTTCAGTATAGAACCTTTGCGAAGTTTTGTAGAAAACTGAGGTTGAGACAAAGATCTCTGTAACCTAAGGGATTTTTTAATATCAGTTCTATGAAGTTCAATACTTGGCACTGTTGGTTTTTTTTGGTTTCTTAAATCACAATTTTCATCTTCAAATAATTCAAGAGCCCATGGGTCTTTTTTGTTTGATTGATTTGAGAGTGATTCTTCCAGCTTTTCGGGCTTGTCTTTGAAGCTTAATTGTTTAGTCTTTTTCACTTCAATATATTCATTACTAGGATTCTCAGAGGTAACAGTATCTTCTTGTTTATCATGTAAAGCTAACAATAAAGATTCAGTTACAGAAATAGGATGTCCAGAATTTTTCATAGTATCATAAATAGTGTATATCTCCAAGAGGAACCCTCCAAATATTATAATCTGAGATACAATAAACACAGGAACTTGGAAACTGCCAAACTGCTGTGCAAGACATGATGAACACATAAGCCAAATTATAATGGAAGCATAGTGGAATCTCACATTGTTTTCAGGTTGCCACATAAGGATAACAATTGTTATATATCCTATTATTATAAAAGACAGTACTCCCAATGAAGAGTTGTTCAGAATGAAGTTCAGAGTATTCCACACATACAGTAGAATCTGCCAAGTTATTGAAACTATCAGCTTTGGGGTGTAATGGTACAGAACACATATTATTGGAATTGATACTCCAAAACCTACTATCAGCTTGAACCTCTTCCATATATTCTCACCTATAAACTCTGATACATCATGAATAATGTTCACTGGTAAAAGCAGTACTCCTAGTATTATGGGAGTATTGGTAACTGATAAATTCTCGAACCATGTCTGGAATCTGCATTTCAATGACCTCTTCAAAGGATGTAGAGCTGATCCTACCAAGACGGCCCATATCAGTGGTTTGAAAAAGGGCTCCAATATCATGTAGACAGCATATGCAGCAGCACAGCTTAGGAATAGAAGGAACAGGGCCACAGAGTTATACAATGCATGCTTGACTGGTTTGTCGTGGCCCTGAGGAAGACCACCAATAACATTAAATATGTTTTCTAATGGTGAGTAATGGTCCATTGTGGATTTAATAGTACAGAAACCAGGTGTTCTACTTGGGGGTGTTGTTTTTCACACTCTTGATGGTTACCCCAATCATAATCTTTTCTTTTTCAGAAAACTTTCAGTTCACTGGCCAAGCCAAGGGCCAAACAAGTCATCTTTCATCTTTCTATCGTGTTTACAAATTTTCATTTTTAAATACATTCACAATATTTACATTTCAAAACTGACGTTGACAACTGACGTGTATAAGAAATCCTCTTCCTTTCCTGGTTCTTGGTCTTTTCTGGAAAGATCTTGCTTGAAATATTTGAACTACTGCGTCTTTCTCACTGAAAAATTGTCCGTGCTGGAGTGACCAAGAAACTAACAAAAGAGAAGAAGGTGGATTAACCAAATAATTTGCAATCAAAATCAAACATTCAAAATCCAAACAAAATAGCCAAGCAAACAGAACTTTTTCACGAATTCGGAATTATGAAGCCAGCAATTGTAGCCGATGAAATGTTTCCAGAAGGAGCAGGTCCATATATGGACATGGAAGAGGTGATTTATAGAAAATAAATAGGTGGTGAAAATTATGGTTGGTTTTGATTGTAGGCTGGAGGTTCTTCAGGACTTCTTATGGATTTAACCGCTAACGAGAAAGCAGTTCACGCAGATTTTTTCAATGGTATGCAATTAAAAATTTACTTTGGATTTGTCTTTCAAGTATGGATTAATTTGGGTGTAATTATGTATATTTCATGTTCATATCACAAGATAGTAATTTCAAACTTATTACTTGCTTGAAACATAGATCAAGACAATCTCACACTTCTAGCTTGATTAATACACCAGTTTCTACCTGAAAATCATTAATGATATAGAGAATGAAACTTCTAACTTGGAAAATCCACTCAAAAGTCATCCATTGTCCCAAAGTTCTACAATGTTGCTAGGCAGCACTTTTAGTGTCTAGGAGCTGAAGTTGAAGGTTAACTCTTCAAAGTGTTAGATGGCAGCTGATAGCTGCTTTGACACTGACATGCTCAAGTGACTCAAAATAGTGGTATATTTTATTAATTAGATATTAATTATTTCAATTGCAAAAAAAATTACATTTCATTCCCATCAAAAGTGACTGTTTGACTTGCAAAATTTGCCTGCTTGGCTTCCTGGTCACTCTGCCTGGCACATGCAATAATAATAATCCCTTGTCAAACAAAGTGTCATATTTGATCCTAATGAAACAATGTACTATTTGTTACAGATTTTGAGGATCTCTATGATGATGAAGATTTACAGTAGTAATAAACACTAAAACACACCTTTTAGTGTCAGTTTTATTAACAAAACAGCTGTTTCACAATTTTGTTTACTACCACAAACTGTCAATATGTACCAAAAATTATTAATTTTGTAATCACAGATCAAAAGATGTTTTTTTCTTCAATTCTCATATACTGTAATTTCAATTATTTTGAAACTAAGACTACTTAATCCAATGGCATCTTTAACTGTTCATTGAATCTATCTATTTTATGATTTGGATATTCATTAAAAGTTATGTGCCAAAATATCAGATGTACCAGATTCACCAAAATAATGTTTCTACATAAGCTATCTCCAGAGTGAATGATATTCATTTATGATATTCCAAAGTGATGGTGCATTGAATTTCATTATATAATTTAAAAAGATAATGGTGAATTCACAAAGATAGGTAGGTACCACTTTTCATGTGAACAGGGAACATGGTAACTTGAAATCTTAAAATTGAGTAGGTATCTTAAATTTTTTTGTATAAATCCAAACTGGCCTTGATTGAATTTAATGTTTTTCACTTTCCCATCAAATTCTTTAGTTGACAAAAAAATCCATTGTTTTAGAATTTCAACACAAAGGAATTACAAATCTTGGTCATGCAAAAAATATATTCCAAAAAGAAAAAAATAATACTTAGGAACTAGCCTCTCATAACAATAAAATTCCAAATTTAAACATAAAATTGTAAGTTTATAACCTAACTTTTAGTTTTATCCAACAAAAAACTTGATTTTCTCAATAATATGTACAAAAATAATTACAATTTGTAATATGTATATACAAGGTTATTACATTTATGTACAGGATTCTCAAAAGGTGTTGAAATATAAAACATGTAAAACAGAAAATATGGTATATCTTCTATTGCTTCTAGGGCACAAAATGAAATAACTCATACACTACTGACTATCAACAACAAAAAAGGCTGAAAAAACGTTACCCTGATACATGTTTCATCCAGCATTAAGTGGATTTGGTGAATGGATTGATATTCTGCATTCCATATCAAGTAAATTGAAGTGTACACAACATTCAGCATTGATTCAAATGAAAAATTCCCAATATACAGGGTGTAATTTAATCTATGGCAGAAAATATAGGATATTGTTAATCAGCTCATTTTGAGAAAAAAAGTTCATATGAACATAATAATATGCTCTAAATCTCTCAACTTTCAAGCTATAGGGTCTTATAATTTTATGGAAAACATCGTTTTTTATCATAACTTGCACTGAGCACTAATGAGATTTTTTGAGGGAGATTTCTTTATATTTTTACCAGTGGCATAGGATGTAAACTGGAGATTTTTCTAAAAAAATCTGGTATGCTCTTGCTTTTTCCAAAAATGAAAATCATTTTTCAATATCATGAAAATTTCTAGAACAGTGTTGAAGTCATGATTCATATGAACTGTTCTTCTTAAAATGAACTAAGGAACCATATCCTTCATTTTCAGCCATCAAATTACACCCTGTATATATTTTGTGATTTGATTAACATAAACGATAACTAATTTTGAATAACATAACCGGATTTTTTGCAATATCAATACCATTCTAATCGCCCATTGAAATAAAAAATGGAAACAAACATAATGGGATTCGAAACCTACTGCTTCAAATGACTTTTTGGGGTCTACCACAAAAACAACCATTTCCCTATTTATGTTCAACACTCAATTCAAATGACTTGGGATAAATCTGAAGTAAAATGAGAATTAATGTCACAATAGAAAATGATTTTTGATAGGAAGTCCAGCTTCCCTTTCCTTATTTTCAGTAATATGACACATTTATGGAACTATATTAAATGTACATCTTCAGAAATATTCTCCCATTGTGACATAAATAAGAATTTCTAGCTAACAAAAAAATGCTGGACCAACATATTATAGAACTTATAAAAAACGACCAGTCATTTGGTTGCCTGGGAAGTAAATGTAATCATAATCATAGGCCATGAACATGAAAACTGATGTTAACAAAGTTTCTTATTGCCCAAACTTTAGTTCGCTTCCTTAAACCGTCAATTATCAAACTAGCACCTAGCTATAGCACCAAAACAAGGTAATAGTACCGTCTGTCTCGCTGGGCACGAGAAACATGCAGTGAAACAATAATAATATGAATATATTGTTGTGAAATGGTACATAAAAATTACCTCTTGAAAATTACAAGAGCTATGGAGGATGTTACTTTATAACATGTCACTTGCTACATATTCAGTTACACAAAGAAAGAAAGTATAATGAAAAAATCAATGTTTCTAGAAATATGTTATAACCTATCTGTCATTAACAGGATGATCATTTAAAATTCTACAAGTGCAAATATTTTCCCCAATTCAATGCAATATGAAGAATAGATTTCATACTAGCGTAATACCTTATGCATTTAAATATTCAATTCCATAATAGAAACTAAACCATAATATGATGTTCAAAGAAAAATGTTGATTTATCTGATGCCTCTGTCTAGATGATGTAGAGACTTTTTGAATATAAGAAATGATCCTGTATCTCGGCAATTTTAGCAGCCTAAGCTTCACCTTGCTTTTTAGTAATTGTTAGGTATAGCATAGATATGCGTTTTTGTGTAAAGATTAACAATATCCATAGTCACTTTAATGACATCAGGACAATTGGAATACATTTGTTTTGGTGCCTTGTATTTTAACTTTCCTCTTTCCAGTGCTCGTCGAGTGAAAATTTCCAGAGCGATGACAATAAAAATATTGTATCTCTAATCTGGACGTTTTTCTCGTTCCTATAATCTTGATGAAATAAATTCTTTCTTTCAAGATTTTCTTCAACCGACGTTAAGTCATCATATTGGGCACAGGTATTAGCTGCTTTCTCCAGAGCAGAACCGTTAATTTCCTCTGATAGTTATCACAGGAAAACACTTTTTCACTTCTTCTCAATGGAACTATATTAGTTGGATGTAACTTCAAGCAATGATTTCTGAGATTTTGAAAACAACTGAACGATTTCCTACATTCTGTACAACAGTTTGATTCAATTTCTAAAGCGTGAAACGCTAGATAATTGCATCTAACTAAATGAGTATCTACCGACTACCCTCCTATTCGCGATACATAATTCGGAGTCAATTATGGGTATTGGCTATTTACCTACCAATAATAATTATTTTTATTGTTTTGCTGCGATGCTTCTCGCATCCAGCGAGCAGCGAGCCAGGCGGCAACTGAGTTGCCAACAGGTCGACAATGATTTCCTCACAAACAAATGTGGGATCATTCAATATAACTCACACTATCAAAATATCAACATCAAAGTAGATTCTCCATCATCAAATGATATGAAATGTAAAATGACAAATTTTATAATAAAAGCATATCCTTTGCCTTTTTCTGGCACAGAATATTCTTAACCTCATCTCATCTGTCAAAAAATAATACCGGGTTTTGACAGATAAGGTCCTTGAGACTGACAATAATAACTATTAAAATAACAAATATCAGAAGAACGTAAAAAAGATTATTCTTTCAATGCACCCGATAAAATAAATAAAGTCAGAAGTATGTGAACCACTATTGTTTTCATCTTCATCATTGTTTGGCTTTGGCATTGAATCCATTGCATCCGTTTTCTGGAAATAACGAAGTTATGGAATAATATTTCTGAACATATTTGAAAAATAGAACAAAATCGCTTACAGAAGTCTATAATTCTTATTGTTCAAGGAACCCTTACCTGTATCGCCTGTTTTTCGGTCATATTTGATCATTGAGAGCTTTACTTCTTATAACCCATTTAAACATAGACATTTAAAGTGTTATTTATTGTTAATTGATATTGTCTGTGGTAATATGTCCGAATCTGTAGTCTAATGCATAGCACATGTATACTGTCACCATTGGCATCTGTCACTGTCTTCTTATATTTTTTTTCTTCTTTTCAACAAGGTTGAAGGTTCAGTGGCGGCGTGTACATTTTTGAATTAATGAAATAATAAATCACTGTCTTTGATGCATGGATTTCATGCAATCACAAAATCACTCACATCTCCTGAAATAACTCACAAATATGAGTATTAATTCACAAATTGGCAACCCTGCAGTGTTACCTCTCTTTGGTGCTATGGCTAGACCCTAGTAATCAACAACCCAAGAGTGAGTAGATTAACGAGTGACGACAATAGACCTACCTACAAGTCTCTGAGTAACAAAAAATTCTGAATGGTATCTCATGCAGTAATGAATTTGCGCCTTCGAAGTGCCCACCTGATGTTAGGTTTGGATATTTGTTATTTTCATTCCATCATCTAAATAATCTGAGACTCAAGAGTCCCAAAAGACGGATTCTAATAGTAAATATTCAAGGTACTGACGTATAGAGTTTCATGTCTGATTATTGGATGTTCAATGTTCATAGAGCAAAAAACAGAGACACAGCATTGACAGAGTGAAATAGAATGTGTAGAACTGAATAGAGGAACCAAGAAAGGTAGATGCACCTCTATTAGAAGTCTGACCAATCAAAAAGTGTACCACTATTGTCGTCACTCTATTTAGTCACTCTAATCGACACTATCGCGGCTTGGCAACACCGTACTTGCTCTATCCTGCTCTAGTTGAGATGTTTAGCTATAATGGTGTTTGCACTGATACGCTTGTGTTTTGCCGGAACTTGACGACAATAAACAGTTGAAAATCGCAATACAACGATCTTGTTACATCTTATTCCGATAGATGTCGCTGTATCTTATTACACACTATCTTAATTGAACCGTATTACACCATTTGTGTATTTTTTTGTTCAGCGCCTCTCACAGATTTTCAATGAACAAGAACCTCATAAGTGCCATCAGTTTTTGACCAATGTAACCATGGGAACCAGCCTTGACTAAGAACACCATATTCCCAAAAACATATCAGTTCTAGTTCAGTTCGTTGTCGCTGGACAAGTCGGATTCGACTTCCTCGTCGGAAAAGTCGTGGGGGCCGGGCGAATGGGGATCGCTGGACGACTGGCGCGAATTCTCCTCGTCCAAGGTGGTCTCCAGGAACTCTTCTGCGTTGAGGTGCGCGCTGGAGCCGGCGCGGGCGCCATCTATGATCTCGTCGACGGCGGTCGGCTGGCCAGTCGCTATTTCTAGAAAAAAAACGGCGTCTGCTGGACTCTGTTTTTCCAAAAATCTCACTCATGCCATGAGGAACTGAAGGTTAAACTGCATTTATCATGCGATGGGATTTTTTTCGAATTTTTTTTGGTACTTACGTATTTTTGTCTGAAAAACACGAATTTGATAATGAAAATGTGAACAAAACACTAATTATCAAGATATTTAAAGAAAAAGTTCGAAATTTCGCCTTCTTTTTTCCCTGTGTTGAATGCATTTACAGCTACTTGCTATGTCATTGGACACTTTATATACTCATGATGTACTTCAATGACACATTTTTATATAGAAAATTCAACCGAAAATATGGTTTTTATGGCGAGTTTTCCATATTTAGTGAACAAGCATACCAGATGACGGCCATTTATTCAATACTCAATCCAAATACGAGATGTCAAATGTCAACAGATTGCATTTGAATGACATCACACACGCCATTATTATAAATGATATTCTTTCTTCTTTTCACTAAATATTGATAAATCACAAGAAGATCATATTCCTAGGTGACTTTCATGCATACAAAATCTGTCATTGAAGTACATTGTGATATTCGCGATAGAAAATAAGCGTACGCCACCTATCGGAGTTATTGAAAGCTGTCAAAGCGGCTTATTTACTTTTCTTTCATTGGTTCACATATGTTTTTTGTTTGTGCTGATTGGTCACATCATCAAAACAAACCACTCAGAAGTGTTCAAGTTGTTGCCGTAAGGTGGAGCGATTTCTATCGCGAATATCTTGATAAATAATGGTGTTCACATTTTCATTATCAAATTCTTGTTTTTAGGACAAAAATACGTAAGTAACAAAGACAATGTTCGGAGAAATAGTAATTTAATCGCATAAGGAAATGTATCAGATTCCACATTATCAATAAATCAACTATGATTCAGTAGAATTGGAATGGGTATTTTACTTACTTTCAAGATATGGCCACAGTGATTCAGGTATCATATTTCTGATTTTCGTCAGATCTTCATTTGTGCAATTTCCAGTATCTAGTCCTGAAAAAAGGATGTTGATTTGTAAGGATTCACAGTAGAACAGATAACAGTCTCATTTTACCTGCTAACATTCCAATGGATTTCAGAATTTCTACGTCATCGTTTATTTCAAACTTGTCATTGAATTGAAAGAGATATTCCCTCCTGAAAAATATAATTTATTTCAAAATTGTATCTATTCCGAGTTATGACTGAAATTTTTATTAGAAGTAATGGAGAGGAACAGAATTTTAACTTCAGTTAGAGAAAATCAAAAAGTAACCCTCTGGTGTCGGATTTTAGAACCTTTCCGAGGGTCGCCGATAAATCAATTTAGCAATGTCAGCATCGAATTTATAACTGTTTCAAACAAATTTTGATTATTTTTCAATAGGTTTTGACTCATTTTGTGCCGGAGTCCTGCTAAGTGATTGTCTTTTCAAAACATCTATGAACAAATGAACAAACCAGTGTGTTTGAATCCAGGAAGTATTTTTCAATTTTTTTGTACTCTTCCGACTGTACTGAAATTGTTACGTTACACAAATTTTCTTTTAAGGATATAGAAATGTTACAAAAGGAAAACTAAGGCGAGACAGGAATAAAACCACTACATTAGTTTTCTGAACCACTTATATCTGGGGAAGGCATCAGCAATAGCCTCAGTGAAGATTCAAAAGTCATCACACGATTATTATAGGACGGGATGGACATAATGGAGGATCCTATAGAAGTAATTTTGCAACCAGAGAAAAAGGATATTCTAACTTCAATACAAAAAAATGCTAGAATGCTCTTTTTTTCCATTTCTTCCCATTTTTAGTGTTACCAAAATAAAATGTTCACTACTTTACGTTGGAACCCTGGGACCACTCAGTTATGGTTAGATATGCTACAGTTGATGACAGTCTTCTTGTCGGTGTTGACCACAATATGAAGCAGAAAGATTACAATAGAGAAAAAGGGAATTTCTGACTATTGTGTTAGAATGCTCTCCTTCTCCATTTCTTTTAATTTTTAGCGTCACCAACATAAAATTTCCACTATTTTACGTTGGAACCCTGGACCACTCACTTATCGTTAGAGATGCTACAGTTGATGACAGTCTTTTTGTTGGTATTCACCACAATGAAGGGCAGCTGGATGTACGAATTGGGTGGCGGAGGCCCGTGCTGCTGCTCCGCCTCCCTGTTGCGGCGCGCCAGATTCTTGAACGCGATCTGGTTGAGGATCAGCTCGTCGAGCTGCTTCTCCTTCTCCCTGATCAGGTGGATCTTCTCCTGCAGCTCCTTCTCCAGCTGGTGGCACTCTTGCAGCGAGTTCGTGGGCAGGCCGATCCATCTGGACGATGGAGACAGGGGCGTCAGTTCAGTGAATACCAGGGAGGTTATTTGGGTTCAAGGTCAAATGCCTCCAGATCGAAAATTAATTTTTCTTCAGAGTGATAACTTTAGTTCAGTATGTATACCAGGAGGGTGTCTCAAGTGACTCTGACAACATTTTTGTATGGCAAAAATGCGCCGCAGGTGGAATTTATTTCGGATTCAAGTTCAAATGCCTACAAACTTGAAAATGGGGAAGTTTCCCTCACATGAATTTTCATAAAATCAGTTCGGAACTCTTCAGTTTTATGTCCACGCTGTACAGAATGGCGACCGATAAAGTCCAAGTCGTTTTCATTTTCAAATTAAAGCAATTTCTAATTTTCGGGGCGGCAAACTGTGACGTATATTCTGAAACGAATAGCTAACGAATGAAAAACGAATGAAAAAATAGAAGAAGTAAAACTGGTAAACAATAACAAATATAACCACAAATGTACTCGGAGCAGGAATGTAGAGGGTAGTTGGCTTCATTCTGACAGGTTATAGTTTTATTATTTATGCATTGAATTATCTCGAATAGAACTCGATCCTAAAAGAAAATATCATTGAATCAATGATCCACTATCGGGTACATTCAATGATACTATTTTTCCTAATTTACTGCCATCGGTCAAAACAAAGCCGACACCCATGGCTTCTTCCTCTTGTTGTGCCTATCAGTATTTGAGTGGTGTGTACGGACTCGAAGTATTAGGCGCTGTTGCAAGATATAATTTTCAACTTTCCCAGAAAATAGATCCGTTTTATCAAGGAACCAATACGTTAGCAATAAAATGACTGACAAGTTATGAATAACATATTGTAATATAACGATAGTGAAAAATTATAGATACTATCGCAAAATATCATAATTTATCTTCATTAGTAATCAACATTTCCGGAAATCTAGACATATTGATGATGTCGGAAACGTCGTACTGGCACAGGGTGGAGGAGCCAAGTTCCTCTTATATTTATTTCTTTCTAAAGTGAAATTTGATCTTACGAAAAGAAATAAGTACATATTAATTTTTCACAAACTTCACAGTGAGATTAAAACCTCGATATAGGAACCTTCCCCATTAAATGTCTTCCAGAGTAACAAATATTCCATCACATATAATAAATTATTCAGTTTCATGTTCTCAGTTTGTTGTAATCGAGGCTGTAATTGATGTAAAATGATCTGGAAATAAGGACAATAAGAAGAGCCAGTGCTAAGTATTCTGAATACTATCTGTAGGTTAACCGAGCAGGTGGATATTATACAAATTGTTTGGGATTTTCTCTCAATGTTTCATAAGATGCAAGAGTTGTAATGAAATTTTGAAAAAATCGTATACCTACAATAATCATAATTTATCATAGTTTTAGCCACGATGTTCAAATCACCCCGTAAATGAGAAGAACGTCTAAGGAATGCCTTATCACAAACGGCCTCGACGACTAATCGGTATTTGTAATAATCGTGTGATCGGAGATTGAAGCAGGTTTAGTCATTAGCATCGTGGCATCAGAACGAATCACTTGTCGATGTTCTATTTTTATAAACATCATCATTGTACAAGCCGTCCTGAGTGAATTGAAATTGTGTCTATCTACGATGCCTCCATTTGGAATCTAATAAAGAGATATCAGAGAAATAGGTACTAGCTTTACTATTTGATAACAAAACCGCCAAGTTTACATTTCTGATTTGACCTCACGGAGGTAACTCACTTTATTTCTTTTTTCTCCTTGGAAATGATATTCATCGCCATCAATACGTTGAGAGCATCGTAAACCCTCCTCCTGATATTCTTCTGATCATACTGATCAGCCAGACTGTTGTTACTGTTGGCTGTGGTAAATTCCCCAACAAGTTCATCAGCGACTTCATTATACGTCGTCACTCCTTTTTGCTTCACTTTTTCACACACTTTCATGGAAAAATGTCGAAGACCTTTGCCCACCTTCTCGGATTTCCTACCTCTTTTCCTACAACAACAATTTTTAGATAGTGGCAGATTTTCAGACGTAATCTCACCGAGTATGCCTTTTGGAGGGTATTATTATGTGTATATTTTGATGCTAATAAACGATACATTAATGAATCCTCTTCGGTTTTTCATGCATTGAAGCATGATTTCAACATTAGGCGTATTTGGACATGCGCAAACGGTATGCCAGTTTTTCCGCACGAATTCAATACTATCCGAAATGGTCCAGTCAGGCTTTCAGACCAATCACAACGTTGAATGATTCACGAGTGCTTGATACGGCTACACCGTGTCCATATGTTGTTAAATGAATATCTTTAATTCATTGATCTATACATTTTTCAATTACAATTCAGAAAGTATGACATATATTCCAGGAAGTATAATTTTAAATTCAGTTTAGATGTATGACATATTGATATCCTCCATACAGGACGTGGAAAAAAATTCTGAATTGAGGAAACCCAATCAAGAATCTGCGATTCGAGGAAAAAAAAAACCGTCGTTCAAGTTTGAACCCCTTCATTAGGTATGAAAGTATCGAAAAAAACTATTCTTAGATAATAATATATTCTAATTATGAAAAAAATCAATACATATAAAGAAATACATTGAGAATTCGCATTCTCAAACTATAATTTAGTGATCCGAGAACTTATATCTTAACCTCCAAAAGTTCAACGATATGGTCTTCGAGCATTATAGGGATTATCTTTCGTGCGCGCCGGAAGATAAAAAAAATTGAACACAATGAGAGTTTGAAAATCAAAATCTCCTGGAGTTGGGAATTTGTATTCTCTTTCAGGTTATTGTTTAGAAAAAGTAGTCTCATCCATATGCAGAGAAAGGATATTTTCCTTCCTGCTTATATCATAACTATATTAGGCAGAGTTCGGTTAGATTGTTGAAAAAAAAAACAATCTCCTTTTTTATGCAGTATGTAGAAACTAGCCACCACAGATGGAAATGGTATAGCTTAATTTTTGTGAACATCCACCAAGGCCGATATCACCCTGATTGGTCTGAAATTCCAACTATGGACCATTTCGGGTAGTTTTGAACTCAGATAGCTTATGCATAGCACAAACATGTATACTTCTTGAAGACACCCTTTTGGGCTCACGCAAGCGGTATGTCATTGTATTTTCAACTACGCATCTAACTTGTATTTCATTTTGGAACACAGGTAGCATGAGTGAAATTGTACTGAAACGCTTAATTTGTGAACAAATAATGTTAATTAACTTTAATGCATGCATCATTTATAAACATCAAAATATTACTCATAAAATAATACCCTCCATAAGGCATAATTTTGATGACCGAAAATTCAAGCATCCTTACGATTCGGGGGCAAGTTCTAAATCACTATGATCTTGTCTTTTTCTTGCTAATATTGGCGGTGAAGCATTTTTCGCATTTGTTCCAGGTGAAGTAAATATTGGAATACTTGGAGGAGTTGATGTCATTTGTGGAGAAATTTGGATTTTCGTGCTCCCAGCAGATGCAAACTTGATGTTTTGCTAAAAGAAAACAATAGTTCATTTCAATATCATTCAATGGAACGAAATCGGATCATATATTACAAACTCGTCCGCCATATTGGAGCCGCCATCAAGAATTTCCTGATTTTGACAAAGGAATCATAATCCCCGATCACGAAAATCCCTAGGTACCAATTTTGAATATGATCGGATTATAATTATTACAAAACTCGTCCGCCGTATTGGTTCTGCCATCTCGAATTTCCAAATTCCGCCAGCATTTCCAAATTTTGTCGAAAGAATCAAAATCTTCGACCCCAAAAACCTCCAGATACCAATTTTGAATAGAATCGGATCATGATTACAAAACTAGTCCGCCATCTTGAATTTTACAATGTTCACATAGGAATCATAATCTCTGATCTCGAGAACCCCCAGATACCAATTTTGAATAGAATCGGATCATAATCACAAATTCCGCCATATTGGATCCGCCATCTTGAATTTATAGGGATAAAAATTATCCTATAGCAACCAAATCGGCTCAGCCGTTCTTGAGTTATATTGTTCCTGCTTGAGGCCTGAAGATGACAGAATTAGAAGAAACGTTGTTAACATCAAGTTGAAAAATACAGAAAATTCTTCCACCCATTTCATAGATTTATACCAATTATTCACTTACCATTTGTGAAGCAGTCAGCTTTATTGTTTTCATACCAGAAGATGGAATTTCTTTGATCTGTATGGGAAACGTCTCTGAAAAAAATTCGAAAATTTACTACTGGTGTTGAATATTGACATTTTGGGTAACCAATAATTTCCCAAATTTCTATAAAGTTTAGAAGAACTTACTTGGCATAACTTTAGGGACAACTTTCAAAACCTGAGTAGCATTTCCACCGGTTGTGGTGAAAACCTAAAAAAATCCTATAGTAATAACATTTTCACCATCACTACCTACCAATTTTATTCATCATTTTTGTGCTCATAATAATTTTGTATTTTGTATTTCACATCCAGAATTGAACAAATGTGAAGTCTCTGGACACAGCACCAAGAATAATTATTATAAGATGTTATAATATTACATATATATGTGTGTGTGTCAACCTAATAATATGATACCTTGAAAACTTATCAGCTGGTATGATATCTGCAAGTTAAAAGAGATAAACATTGGTTTCAGAAACAAACAAAATGTGCATATATCTGACTTTAAAATAGAACTATAATTTGATTTTATGCATTTATCTAATCATCCATCGTTTAAGTGGTCAGAAGCATAGAAAGATTTCAACCACAGATTCTAGCCATCTGAAAGGGGGTCCGAGATGATATAGTTTTTTGTAAATATTTCCGAAATTTTGTTCATGTATATTACCACAATAGAGAGCTTACTGTAAGCTCTCTACTGTGATATTACTATTCATGCCCGATTTGGAAATGTTGAGAATTTTCCGAAATTTTGATCAGGGGCGTGGGTAATAGGTGGGACTTTCTTTCCCCAACTTTTTTTCTATGCAATTTTTACCCAAAAATTATACTCTTGTTTAGTTTCAATAGCACTCGATTTTGAAAGTCAATATATTTGCCCGAAAATGACTATTTGCAATGGTTTCTGTGTGACCTGATGTTTCACACTATATTAGATTCGGCAAGACGTTTTCGGTGGGCCACGTGGTCTATATTTTGCTAGAACTGAAGATTCACTAATTGAAATACTTGACCATTACATTTTGTACATGTACACTTCTATATGCTTCAATGAAGATGATTTTTCAATCCGTCAATAAGAGAAAAAAAAACATTTTTTTCCCACGGGAAAAAAGTGAGTACTTTTTCCCGGATATACAACACATATATATATACACTGTTGATGGATTTTGTTGTGCTATAGTTCCAAAAAATAAGCCAATAACACCGTATCCGAGAAAGAAATGAAAGTCCATTTTTCTTCCATTGGACTTGGTGGTTATGTAAAATACTGAACAGCCATTAAATTCGCAATTTTTTAAAATCAAATCACAGAAAAGAATGATAAAGATACCTGCAACGCAGGTGTCATTCATTCCTGTTCAAATTTCACGTCGTTAATTTTCTGATTTCAATATACAGAACAAAATAGTGTATTATCACCGGAAAAATATTAGATTTTAGCTCATGGGTTTCAGTCAGAAAAACTGTTCATCTTTTAGGATTGTCACCCGATGATTTTCTGATCAGAATCATATGGACTACATCATACATAACATTCAGCGCAATCCACCGAATTTTTATTCATTTTCACCCCCCATTTGGTAGCGGGTAATAATGCAAAAATGCGGTTTCTATAATTATTATCCATGATGAAACATTTTCTATCACTTTCAAAAGTTAGATGGAATTTTTTTATTCTGTTTTCAATATAGGTGTTGGGGGTAATAATCCCCCTCTCCCTATTATATTTTTTATGAAGAATCTATTTTTAGAAGTAATTAAATGGAATAAAAAGTTCTGGAATATCTTTCATTTTCTCAGAAATAAATGGTCCATTCCATCAAAATGTGAATTCAAACCCCCCTGGCAAAAAAACTGTCCAATTTTGGGGGTTGGCTCAATGGAAATATAGAACCACATGAACAACATCATACCAAAAATTGAGAAAAATCCACCAGGACCCAATTTACCTTATAAATTTGCTGGGTCCTTTGTGTAAATGATCCAATTCAATAACACATTTTCAAATCAGATCAAATTGGGTTCAAAACATGTAGAACATGGAAAATAAGATTGATTGATTGACTGTTGAAAACTTCAAGGTTTTGTATAGACTAGTCATTGAGAATTGAAATCTATGTCATGTGTGTAGTGCAGTTGCACCAACCACTTGGGCAACAGATGGTATTAAGATAATGAAAGACAAGTTATAAATAGGGGTGTGAGTTTAACAAGTTTGCCTAGCCAATGCAGGTGTTCATTCAAATGACCTAACCGACTTCTGTAGTCATAAGAATTGATAGGAATGGAGAACTGAGAAAATAAGCACATGGTCAAGAACCGGAATTTTTCATTTTGCTTCTGAATTCAAATTTGATCTCATTGAAGTCATCTGCAAGCAAAACGCCTATAAACAAATATTTCGATGTGGAATTGTTGAACATTTTATCTCACAATCAGAAGAAATGAACTGGCTAACTATACCAAAGTTTAGTTATTTACAAAATGTCTGGCTAATGAAAATCTGATATAGGTACTGGGTCTAAGAGGATCATGGTACACCTAAACCTAAGTGATTGAAATTTGGAATGATCCATCAACTTGACTGTCATGTTTTGACATACATATGTTTAATTCCACTTCCGGTTTCACTGGATGTTGTGATATTTTTTTATTTTCAAATGGAACACCCTGTATATCATTGCATTTTCAAATTCTGCGTCATTTTCTGGATGCAATAATACCACATAAATGATATATCAAGCTTCAATATTGAAAATCAAAACCGGTTGAAAACCAGTTTAGTGACACTAATTTTTAATTATTACTATTATTATGCAGGGGAGAACTCATTGAAAAGAAATAGTGGAGAGGAAACATGATGGGAAACATGAAATAGTATGGAAAACAATGCAAAATTCAGCAAAATTGTACCCTGTGTTATTTATCAAATTCATATTTGATACCAAACAAAAATATCAATATATCCAATCAATATCAACATAATCTATGATATTAACTTAATTTAACAAGTCTGAGAAACCTTCACAATAGTTTGTTCTTGTGCAAAACAAATAACCTTTTTCAAAATTCAAACTATTTTCTGGGGGTGCTGAGAGCCCATCTAATTAAATATAATGACTGGTGCCACCATGTATATGTACTATGGTGTTGTCACTTCAGTGTTTCTTTCCCTTTATCTCTGTATGATCAGAACAATAACAACGAAATGTGTTGCCAGGAGAACCTATAGGGAGAGTCATTTCCTGTTGCATCATCAATCTGGCACACTTGATTCACCATGCATTTGTTTTGATACCAACCATACCAACCTACTAAGTGAATTTTAGGAGAAGCCCCAAAATCAACAATTTGGTGTTGGTGACATATAATTAACTAGCTACTATACAATAATAGTCTCCTAGTTTCTAATATTTATAAAATGATGAGAAGAAAAATTCATCAACTTGTAAATTGCATTGAGCCCATGACTAAAGTTTTTCAAATCATAAAAAAAAACTTAATTGATTTTCATATTTGTTTTTTGAAGAAATTCAAAATATCTTGTCTCTGCCTTGATATACCTATAGTTTCTACCAAGTTCTACCAGTTAGTTCTAGCTACCATGTTATGTATAGGAAAGTCTTCAAAAATAATCAACCTACAAGTATATAGAATCAATATGAAATCAAAAGTCAACTGAAATTAGATAGGTGTTTGTCTATATCAGAGAATATAATAACCAACACTCTTTAGAAAGGCATGGCAAATTTTTCATGGTCATGGGCCACAATCATCATCTAAGTAGTAAATAGAATACAAAATAGAATATGTGATAGTCAACTCATGAGATTAGTAGGCATATCATTTATTTATAATATATTCACAAATATGCAATATGAATGGACAGGATTTGAATGGTTATCAATAAAAAAGCAATCCACTCACCTGCTGGGAGTGCTGAGATTCCCCAGGATGTGATGGTGATGATTTGAATAGTTTTACTGGTTGCCCTGTCACAGCAGAAGTCATAATGCCACTTAAAGACTTCCCTGAAGGCTGCACCAACTTTATCATTTGTGGTTGGCCTATTTCAATCCATAAAAAACATCACATTAGATTTCCTACATGCTAAGTTACCATTTTGTGGATGAAGTGTGATTAGTGATTTTTTATCAAAGCAGGCATTAGATAATTCGGGTAATAATTGAATGAGATAGGGTTGCTGTGATTATGACACAAATTTAGTGAATTATATCTTTGCAAAAAAATAGGAGCATGCAATTCTTAGAAAATTTACCATTGGATCCCTGTATCACCCAGTTCGTTGTATTTGTTTGTTGACTCATGTTCACAATCCCGAAACACCTTAGAAATAAAAAATCGTGTATAATTTAAATGAAATTCCTCAATTTTCATGAAACCCTGAGCAAATCATTTGTACTCGGATCCCAGTTTATCAAAATGGCGACCCTGGTAATGCCATATTTTAATAGCTGGATACTTAAAATCGCGTGGACTAAAATTTTATTTGATTATTTCTCAAAGTTCACAGATTATTGCACTTTCATATTTTTCAAAAATGTATTTATTTGTTATAATTTTGACACGTACACGGCTTACTAAAGACGGGCTATTTCGTGCAAATACATTTTTGGATCAGCTTGGCGGCGGGTACAAAGTGTTCTCTCCCATTGGTCGCATGTGTTCACGTGGGATACGCTCGTTGCGATTCAGCCATTCGCCGCTAGGGAACTCAAAAAATTTCATGTTTGGCGCCACTTGTTCGTGGTGTTCCTGAGCCATGCCACATTTGTTGCATTGATCCATAGAACAAAGGTAGTGTTTTCATCATGCATAGAACCAACTTCTGACCGCTAGATGTCGTCGTCGTCGTCGTCTTTCTCTATCTCTCTCTCTCTGAATATTTGGCCCCTTGTGTACATAGCTCTTATTGGCCTTATTACGGATAATCCGTCCCATTTGGCCTGGATACCGGTGTCGTATTATTTAGTATTTTTTGTTAGTCTTCTAACTTTTATGTACACTACCTGAAAAGAAATATATAATAAAAAATGTTGAACTTGAAACAAGGACGAGCAAGATTCCATTGAGTATTCAGTCTGGCTTATATAGTAGTAGTAGTAGTAGTAGTAGTAGTAGTATATCACAAGTCTACGGTTCTCTACAGATAATATTTCAGTTTGAAACTGTCAGGGAAATGGAAGATTGCTGTTTTGTACTAAAAAAGGAATAAGAAGAGATAATAGGTAGGTTGGGACAGTTGACACATATGTAATGTCAATCAATCGTCACGTGCGTCAACAGTGTCGGCACTGTCAGTCATGTCAGCTGACACTGACAATGTCAGCTTAGCTCAGCTGAGAATGGAAGTGTCAGACGAAATAACTAAATCTTGCGAGCAGTAAATAATCAAAAAATGGAAACGGCAATCGCCACAAGAGTTCCAGATAACGTTCTCGAAGTGATATTTTCCTTCCTATCTCTCCACGATCTTAGAAACTGTTCTCTAGTTTGCAAACGGTGGTACGCTTTCTTAAACGACGAAAATAACGATGTGTGGCGACTACATTGTATCAGAAAACTTGCCGAGGAAGCACTGAAATCCGACCTCCTGAGTTCAGTGCCTACTTACAAAGCCAAACTGCGTGCCTTTCACCACGCTTGGAACCCTAATGACTGCTCTAGAAATATTTTTGTCAAACCCAATGGGTTCACATTACATCGAAATCCTGTGGCACAAAGTACCGATGCTTCTAGGGGCAAAATAGGGTTCCGGCACGGCAGGCATACTTGGGAAGTTATATGGGAGGGCCCCTTGGGGACAGTGGCTGTCATAGGGATTGCTACAAAGGATGCCCCATTACAATGCCATGGATATGTGGCACTCCTGGGATCAGATGATCAAAGTTGGGGATGGAATTTAGTGGATAATCATTTATTGCATAATGGAGATGCACAGGGAAATTATCCTATGCTTAACAATGCTCCTAAATATCAAGTAAGGAACAACATAGTTTATCTTTATAGTCTGATGTTGAACTCAGAAATAACTTCATTGGAATCAGTAATCAGTGTGAACAGACTGGAAAGAGGACATGATTTGCTAGAGTTTCCCTATTTCACCAACCTATTCTGATCAACTTAACTTATTTTTGCATTTTCTTTTCAGAAAGTTTTTTAATAATATGTTTTTTCCAGGTTGGAGAAAGAATAAGGGTTATATTAGATTGTGATGACAATACATTATCCTTTGAAAAAAATTATGAATTTCTAGGGGTTGCATTTAGAGGTAAGTTACAATGTTTGGATACCATGATTGTGTGTAATCTTTTTTGTATAGATATCTAAAGAAATGAAAATAGTATGATTTCATTACCCAGATATTAATTTTCAATGAAAAATCAGATGAAATGTTGTAGGTATGTTCCTTGAGATCTATCTATAATAGAATTTGGGGCAAAATATTTAAACAAGTCAAGGTAGAACACATTTTTGTTACAAAGGGAATCTCTTTAAATAAATGATAGCTTAACAGCCAAACCAAGGCATATTGTTATTATGTCATACCTACATCTCATTTTATTTATAATTTCAATTTAGGAAACAAACTGAACTTTAACCACTTTGTTTGATATTTTTTACTAATTTACTGATTTTTCATAAGGTTACCCATTGTTTAAAGATCATCATCATATATCATGTACTAAATAATCATAGACCACATTATAGATTTATTTCAGTCCACATCTTATTTGTTATTTCTTAGGCCTGCCTGATAAAAAGCTGTACCCAACTGTGTCAGCAGTCTATGGTAACACTGAAGTCTCCATGGTCTACCTCGGCCCCCCATTGGATGGCTAACACACTACTGAACATATTTAGCAATTTTCTAGCTGTATAGAACAAAGAAGACAATTCGAGGAGAGAGATTCTGCATGTCTGTTCCCAAAGATGGTTTATTCAAGGTTAGTCCGGTTTGCCCATGTGATATGATAACAATGCCATATTTGATATTGAGTTTCAATGTTTTAAAAGAACATGCATGACTTTCTTCAGGTATCTTAGTTGGTCAGGGTTTTTTTTAACAGAAAATAATTGATGAGTGAATGGAATTGCCAGCATATGTATGCTACTTCTATTTGCTTATTATTTTTTGTTGAGCTCAGCTTAAGATGTGAAATCATTGTTTGATTTCTACACTTTTCCTCATTATACAGGGTGTTCCTCAGAGGTTTGTACAAAATCTCGGCACATATTCCTGAGCTCAAAATAAGCTGATTCAAAGCAACTTACCTGGGGCTGCAATTGCTCTGTTTCCCAGATACAGGGTGGTAATGTTCTGAACATTTAGAAGCAAAAAGGGTACTCTTATAAAAATACCTATGGTAAGCCATTTTCTAGATATTTTGGTTTTTAGTGTTTCATGCCTCACAAGAATATTTAAATTATTATGAATGAAAAATGTTTGCTGTTAACTTAATGCATCTAATTTGGCCAGTGAGTTAGCAGTGCACAAATGGATTTTTCAAAATACTTTTTTGCAGTGTACCCACTTGTTGATTGTTATTTTTTAACTTTACCACCCAGAGCAATTTCGGACTCAGCTGAGTTGATTTTAATCTCCTCATTTCGACCTCAGGTATATGTGCTAAGATTGTGTTCTAGATCTAGGGACACCCTGTAATGGATATGAAATAAAAGTTCAGAGATGATGAAATAAATGATGACATCCAGTATCCAGTATCAATGCACCAATTAAAAGGAGTAGCTCATGATAAGAGAAGAATATGGCGGACGGACATGAATGAAAGTAGTTCAAAATAATCAGTAGTTCAAAATAATCAGTAGTTCAGATGAACAAAGAGAAAATGTCTTATGACATTATTTCTTCTTCCATTCTTATTTTTAAATTTCTCTCACCCATTGACTGAGGTAGGATTTCACTTTCATTTTATCATATTATTACTCCCAAAATTTGAAAAAAAAATCATAGATAATGAATGAAATTGAAAATATTGGAAATGATAATGAAGTCAACAATGAAGAAATCGAGGACAGTGATCAAGAGTCTGATGAGGATGATGAATTCCAAGATGAAATTTATGGAGAAATTTTAGACACCAGAGCAATTTTTGCGGAATACATATTATTATTGAAGAAAACCTATGAATTGTGGCAATCCCCGGAAGGAGAACAATTTTCGCAATTGGCTGTTCTAGCAAAATTACCAATCAGAACATACCTGAAAGAAATGGAAAACACCATTGATTATTTGATGGATATTCAATTAAATTCAGGCAATGTTGATGTAATTTAGATAATGATATTTCTGTTCAAAATTTAGTTGCTACTCCCCAAAGCTTTCAAGTTACTTTCATTTAATAAATCTGTGTCACAAGTTGAAAAATGTCATTATTACCACATTAAGTACCTACATACTTAGGCTGTGCTCAAATGTTTCCATAAAAAAATAAGGAAATGGACAAAGGTCATCAACTTCTTGGCTGAGTTCTGGGCCATCAGTTTACTTTTGAGGATCTGAAACTGAATGCCTCCTATATATATAAGTATCTGGAATAGTTTTCTTCAGAAATTATGTAGTTCCTAATTGGCCAGAGATGGTTTAAAATAATCTTTTCCACTCATTGATCTTGATTAGATTGAATGTTGATCTTTGAGAATAAAGTTGAAGGCAAAGGAGCTGTGGGCCTCTGTCCTTTCTTTATTACTTATAACTTATAAATACCATATTTTATGCAGTGACCTGAGTTTTTTAATACAATGTACTTTTTGCACATAATCTGATTGCAATGCTTTTATTTCAAAAATGGTTTTGATTTTAACCCCAAATATAACTAATTCAGTTATTTGGATCTTGAGTACCCTGGAAGTTCCAAAGGAACTGAGCTAGTAAAGCTGACTTATTGTGATTATTTTTGTTCTGGCACTCTTGGTAGTTGGAACTACAAATATGTATATCCACATCTATATTTCAGTGAATTTGTTTTTATTTCACTACATTCAATTCATGAAAAAGTATATGATATGTGCAAGATACATTTGACATTGTGCATTATTACATTATTATATCTATTATACCTATTAAGTTTGTATATTTGTACAAAGTCTGATAATGATAGATTTTTGTATATGAACATTCCAATCAAGCACCTGTACTAAGAAAATAATAATTAGCACTTTAATAAATTGCCAATCCCAAATAAGACCACAGTATAGGTACAATGATTCATAGTTTCACTACTGAATAATTTTTATGCTATTGGTTCCATAGGGTTTCTAAATGATAATGAAAATCAGTTAATGTATGATTCTTAAGTAATTAAAATACCTACGCCCTATAAGTTATGGGTTATTTGGGTAACAAAGTATTTTTCTTCATCAAAATTTCATAATTTGATTACTATGTATTATCAGGGTTGTTAATTATATTTTACTTACTTCATTGAATGAAACAAAGTGCAAAAATTTTGCAAGAAAGACTTATCAACAAACTGGGTAGGTAGGTACAAAGGATTATTAATGATTGAGAGTTGATAATCCTTGGGTAGGTACTCCAAGCTGCTGGGTTTCATGGAAAAATCCTTCCAGCTACATTGTAAGCATTAGCAACGTTGATTGTTCATTCAATTTTTATAATTGTTTTCTGTGATATTACAAGCCCAGTTTTATAATAGGTATTTTACTTATTGTAGGTGTATTATTTATACTTTTTATTGTGTTATGATTATTAATATTCTGATTCTTGCATTCTTGTAATTGATTATCTTGCTTCATATTTTTTTTATAATTCTGTCTTGTAGCATCTAATTTTCAGAAGTATATAGTTTTTTACTACATTTGAAGATTTTTTTATATACTAGTGTCCCAAATTACGTTTTCCGATGACCTACTTGAAATACATATTATTTCGCACTATAAAACAACAGGACTAGTGCAAAATGAAAATGTTCGCCAAAGCACAAATCTTATATTGAATGGCGAATACACCTATTCTAATTTGTACTGAATTTATATAGACAGCTATGACAATGACAAATCTACAAATCAGTTGATGACAGTGTCAGTTTCTACACATTGTTTTAGTTCCTAATTCAAATTCAATTCAATTACATATTATTTATTAGTTGAATATCTACTTATAAGTTGTGATCTGAAAAATAAATATGGAATTTTCATCTGATGAAATGTTAGATTCTACTCCTCCAGAAATATCTAGCAATTAGCAATCAAAACTACAAAAGGATTGCTTCCAGAAAAATTAAAACAAGTATGATTTGTCATATAATAATTTCATTGCATGGAAAGAAAAAAAACAATGCGAAAAACTTCTCCCAGGTAGTTGTACTGTATAGTATAATGATTGTCCTGCGTTCAAACATTTTTATATTTCAGGTAGGTCGTCGGAAAAGTATAGTGTAAAACTCGTGCGGAAACTGGTTATTTCATACTCGTGTGACAATATGATGAACCACTCACCCACGGCTCGTGGTTCATCATCTCGTCAGGAACTCGTTTGAAATAACTCATTTTCCGCACTAGTCCAACAATATACTATTGCATAAATATTCTATTTATTATTTATTAGTGTACTAGTGCCAGTTGAGAACATTTTTTCAAGTACAATTCCAAACATCAATCTAGTCCCTTTTGTACCTACATGTATAAATATATTTAATTAAAAATATAGGAATAAATAAGAGAGTTCTAGTTTTATAGAACTGGAAGATATTTGAGGTAGAATAAATGTCATAAAATTGTATGTGTGGTTTCATTCAATGTTCAGAGAAGAAAACAATTTTGAAAAATCTTGATGAACTTTATTTCATTCTTTGGATAGTAGAGTATATAGGTATGCGATTTTTGTACAATATAAAAATTTCATCGAGTTAGTGGTAATAAGGTGGTAGCCCACGCTTTAAAAATTTGAAGGTCCTCAAGTATACTTGATAATAGTTATTACTGAAAGATATTTTTCAGTAGTCCTGAAAATCACATTTCTAAATAGGTATCACTTCTATCGTTTATGTCGTTAAATATTTTGGACGTCATAAGTGAAATTTTCAGCTATTTTTATTGTCCTTACTATTAAAGAAGGTATAATGGAATTATTATCGGAAAATATTCTACTAGATATGAGTAGACATCATCATTCTAAATAATAGTGGACAAAAAACTAAATATACTGATCATTATAATATAAACAATATTTATTTCAGCAATTCCAGCAGTTGAAAGGTTTTACATTGTAATTTTCGTGATTAGTGCGGGAAACTATTCAATTCTCTGTTCATCAATTTATCTATGATTATAAATAACTTGAAATCTTAGGTTCTACTTTCAATTATTCACTATCAATATTTCCAAATCATTATAGGTTAAGAAGTATAAAGAAGCATCAAACAAAACATTTTCAAGCTGAATTGATTTAATAATTGTAAAAATGTTTAAATAGTATTTCATTTGGAATGAAGGAGTTGTACCTACTTTATGGAATATATTTTTTATTATAAATGAGCATAGATTAACGAGTTAATCTATGAATTGAGTAATGTTGTTGAAAATTATTTTGACGCTAATTCTTGTGTTCACCGTATACCTTTTATTGACCACAGAGCCGGATTTAGAGGTCTGGAGGGGGCAACAGTAATTTTTTGCGAAACCAACTAAATTATTACAACATATACAAGGTGTTTTTTAAGTACGTGTGAAAAATTCAGGGGCATGTTGCTGACTTTTAAATAAGAAAAAAAGTTTGTACAAACATAATATGTCCGCAAGTAATTCGTTCTGAAATACAGAGTGTCAAATACTGATTGTTATTTCGGTTTTTTGTGGATGAATTCCAAAATAATCGTGATATTCGGATATACCAAATTTCACTCTATATCACGTTCATTTCTGAATTTACTCACAAAAAACAGGAAAAAGAATGAAACTTTGACACTTTTGTATATCAGAAATGAATAACTTGCGGACATATGTTAATACGAACTTTTTTTCTCATTTTGATGTCAGCAACATACATCCTGTAATTTTTACGCGTACTCAAGAAACACCTGATAGAAATATTATCAAAAACAAGAATTATCTGAAAGAAGGTTTTGTCAAATCGAAGTTCGAATCCTATTTTTTATAATTTTCTTTTTTGAAAATGAGCGTTCTCCAGTGCAATTCGATGTTATCAAAACTAAATACATTCTCATTGCAATTTCAATGTTCGCGAATGCAATTCTTTTACTTTCATCTGCAAGAATGTCTTTTTAAAATACCTCAGTAATTGTTTTTTCCATTGTCCTCTAGATGGGTAGTGAATGGCAACAACTGCTTATCAGGGCCATTTTCAGATTGGAGTGAACAAATATAATTGAATTATTTTTCAACATTTAAGAATTATATATTCATGTTTCTACAAAGTACTGAGGATGAAACAACAAACTTGCCTTTTCCATAAAAAAAATTGAAGGATAAGTTGTTCACTAGTGTTTACCCGTATAAAGTCGAGAGATTTTTTTCTCTATTGTGGGGGGCCTTTTTTTGTGAAGGCTCCCGGGCCCTGGATGCCCTCCCCTAAATCCCGCTCTGATTGACCAACTTCAAGACAAAGCAGTTTTAACATATTTCAAGATTTCAAGCATGACGTTGAGTGTCAAGGGTAAGTGTATTCATAAGTATAGGGTGATCTGAAAATAAGGTGCAAATATACTTTACTATTATTTTCAACTTTTGTAGTGAATAACACGAAAAGAAAGTCTCTCAATTCCCCAAATTACACTAACCCTCAAAATAACCCATTATAAAAATGTTATTCTTCATGATGATGTTCCAGATCTGAAGTATCTCCGTTGATATTGGGTACCGCCACTTCGCAACACAGGGTGGTTTTCACTTTGGTGGCTTTGCACTTTGTTAGGAAAAAGGCGGATACTAGGCAAAACAGTTTGCACAGCGTAGGGCACAAGAAAGCCTGGTGCAAAACTGCCGCCAATCTATAGAATTGCCCTTCGAACGGATCCAAAATGGCTGGACACAGCATGTGGTTGAGATTAACCTCTGTTGGCTAAAGAATAAAAAAGAATATTTCTGCGACTAAAAGGCAAAATTTGAATACTAAATTTTTTGCCAAAATGTGTAATTTGCACAAAACGGTATAGGTAAAATATTCAATGAGGGCATAGCATAACTTCACAAAACGGATTTTGAAATTTGAACATCTATGAGAGATATGCCAAACAATTACAGATAGCATTTAAAAAAACTCCAAAATTCTGAATAAAACAATCATAAAAAAATTGAGACACTGTATTTAATTAATCATTTTCCTCTTATTACTACCTTATGCATTATGTAGTGCTTTATTTGTGACCTAATTTTTGAAGCTGAGAAATGTACTTACTATGGCAACTGCTTGGAGTATTACAAAATGATAGAGTAGGTTGATTGCATAACTTATAGCATTCCACTTGAAGTCGCTAAATTCCTCGACATTATAAACTCCTAGAAAATGAGGGTTATACAGAGCCAGAGGTTCCAAAACATTGCAGCATATTGGAAAAATTATTATACATGTCTAAGAATATCCGATTGATCATAAAAGTTGATGTATCTTCTAAACATTGAAATGCAATCGAATGCAATCGCCAAATTTCGAAAATCGCAAAATAATATCTGAAAAAAACAGGAATTTTGGAAAATTGGTTTCATTTTAAAATATACAGGGTGTTTCAAAAAAAACCTAACCCCCTTGCTAGGGGAGGTAGAACATTGCAAAATAAGTTGGGTTTGCTCAGGGAAAAAATGTCCGTTTTCATGATACAAGGTGTTGGCAGATCATTCCGAAAGTACTGGCAACATTGTAATGAAATTTTGTATGGATGTTTCTTGAAATCTGACACATCGCATGAAATTGTTTTTATATCTGACTATCATAGAGGGCGCTAGTTACACAGTTCGTACCGAGTAGTTTTGAACATAACTTTTTTGAGGTTAGGTCAATAAATAGGTGATAATTTTTCATAATACTCACTCTAATACATAGCTTTATACCAGCAACAATTACCACTTCATCATTTTCAAATTGAAATATTCCGAAAACGGAACATAGTATCGAGTTTTACCAGGAGTACCTTTTTGTTGTAAAATTGAATGATATTCAAGTTGACATCATTGGATTGAAAAATCTAACCTCAAAAAAGTTATGTTCAAAACTACTCGTTACGAACCGTGTAACTAGCGCCCTCTATGAGAGTCAGATATAAAAACAAATGCATGCGATGTTTCAGATTTCGAGAAACATCCATACAAAATTTCATCACAATGTTGCCAGTAGTTTCAACATAATCGTAAAAAATGTGTAAAAAAAATATTGTTTCAACACCTTGTATCTTGAAAACGGATGGCGTTACGACATTTTTTTACTGAGCAAACCCAACTAATTTTGCAATGTTCTACCTACCCTAGCAAGGGGGTTAGGTTGTTTGAGACATCCTGTATATATATCTAAATAACACCGAAAATATTCAAGGTGTGCTTCCTTGTATCATTCTAGCAAATAAAGTTGATATAAACATGTGTCATAACTTGCTCCGTTTTTGAGATACAAGATGTTGAAGTTGGAGGTATTAATTGTTTTTATTTATAACCCCCTGTATAAGCTTTCATGGTGCAAAAATTCAGTATGGATGGAGACTGAGAAAGCCCCAAAAATTCAAACTGATTCTAATTGGGGTTATTGAGTACCTAATCCGAATGGAGGTCTTGAAAACACCTACATCAAAATTTGGAGTCAAATCGAATTTTTATTGTTTCCTCAAAAACTAAGCTGGATACAAAAATTACAACACAAACGATTTTTCATGCTAATATTAATACCCTGTATATCGGAAACGAAGCAAGTTAGGACATATGTTTAGATGAACTTTATTTCCTGAAATATCACAAGGAATCAACCCTTGATTTTTTTCGGTGTTATTTAAATACACCATGTATATTCAAATTCAATAATTTCATTTCAGTTCTCAATCAATGGGCGTGTGTTCACCTTAGTAGAACTTTTAACTCAAACTTTAACTCAAACCATGTTTATAATGATCATTTTATACATAAATAATTATTGACGTCATAATTCGATCGAAAAATTAACTGGAATGTTTTATTTTTGGACATAAATAATAGTACCTTCTGAAAACGGACCCTCTTATATGACGTAGAAACCTCATCTCGCCATAGTTGAAAGAAAATACCAAACGCCCGACGGAGACTGAGGCAACTGATATATTAATTCTTTCAACTGTGATCTCGCGTTAATTCACTCTGTCAGAAATCATGTATCATTCATCTCTGTCTGGAATAGTCTTGTTTCAGTATTAGGGTTTTGACGTCACATCATCGCCTCGTTTTCAGAGGTCCGAAAAATCGGGGATTTCAATAATTTTTTATAAAACATAGGGAGCTCACAGCAAGAAACGGTTTGCGGTGGTGAGCTAGTTTGGGTGAGTTCTATCGAATTATGAAATAAAATTTTTTTGTGATATACGCCCATTGCACTAACTCGCAATAATTATAATTATTTCCACATGGTGCGACGGTTTTCAGTATTCCTATATGATATGCTAATAATGCTAAACAAATTATTCCATACAACTTACCCCCCAATCGTAACAGATAATAAGGCACAACAAACATCATTCCATGCTGAATCCAGTATATGGAAGTCTCCAAAGGCAACTGAAAAAATAAGGTATACCTCAAGAAATGAAGAATGCTTTCTACTCCTGATTCGTACTAATTACTTGACACCAAATCGAGTACTTACTATGTTGATACTTACAATTCTTGTATCTGTTTCTGGAAACATGAATGCCAAGAACGGCCCATTTAGAAGATTCAGATGGAATCTGAATACTGCAGTTACAGCTTTGCTGGGAGAAACCGCTAATAAATATATCTGGAAAAATATAATAATAATATGTCATTAGCTCCTAATGTCACAATAATTATTTCTAGATAGGGACAACGAAGTACAGGTGGAAATTACGCCCATTTGCCCTCTGTAATATTGTTTTTTCTGTGACGGGGAAAAAGTTTGAAATATCATCTCTGTTGACAGGTTATAAAAGGTCCCTTTTCATAAATTACTTTTTTCCCACGGAAAAAAAAATAACTACTTTTATCCCGGATATATATATACTGTTGATGGCTTTTGTTGTGCTAGAGTTCCGAAAAATAAGCCAGTAACATCATCTCCGAGAAATAAAATCAAAACACAGAATTAGACTGACAGATATTTGATTACTTTAAAAGAATGATAAAGATGCCTGCAAGGCAGGTGTCATTCCTGTTAATTTCATGTCGATGATTTTTTGATTTCAATATAATGTAATATTGATTCGTCCTTTTTCCTGTCACAAAAAAAATAGTGTATTATACTAGGAAAAATATTAGATTTTAGCTCACGGTTTTTTGTCTCGCTCCGGCCGCTACGCGTCGGGACACAACCTGGAGCTAAAATCGCCTACTTTTTTCCCTTGGATAATAATACTTATTTATAATACAAAAAACCGTGAGCTAAAATCTAATATTTTTCCCGTGTATAATACACTATTTTTTTCTGTGACAGAAGAAAGGACGAATCAATATTGAGAAGATATTACATTATTTCGGAATCAGAAAATTGAAGACGTGAAAGTAATCAAATACCTGATGTCACTTCTGTCAGTCTAATTCTTTGATTTGATTTCAAAAAATTGCGAATTTAGTGGTTGTTTAGTAATATACGTAACCGCAAAGTCGAATGGAAGATAAAAGGACTTGCAGTTCTTTCTTGGAGACGGTATTATTGACTAATTTTTCGGAACTATAGCACAACAAAATCCATCAACAGTGTATATATATGTGATATATATCCGGGAAAAAAGTGATTTATGAAAAGTGACATTTTATAACCTGCCAACAGAGATGAAATGCGAAACTTTTCTCCCGTCACAGAAAAAATATAGTTATATCTTATAATCATCTTCTAAAAATCAATCACAAAGTGTGAACGTCGCTCTGAAAATCCGGTTTTTCTAACAATTCCAGTGGTTTGATCTTGCAATAGATTCTGTAGCAACTTGGTTTCCTGCTCCGAAATTGTCTTGCTCGTCAAAACAACATTTTCTTTTTATTTGTTGATGTCATAATTGTTGTTTGAGGACCATCCTGTACATAAGAATAGGTTGATCATGCATCATTTCAAGGTTTTTGACCACCGTTCGAACCAGATTGACAGGAACACAAAGCCAATAGAAATTAGAGCATTAGATTATGCATTATCTTAATAAAACATTCATATTTCAGTAACGCGTGTGAAAATTACGAAAAGTTTTCTACAGTATCGAGAAAACATATGAAGCAATATGTTTTTGAAATAAAAAAAAGAAAAATTTTTCTTTCAAACGGGAGGCGTTTGAAATTTTTAGAAAAATGCACAGCTTTGATTATCATCCTGTAGAATCTGATCCGGAAAAGATGAAATAGTCATATCCATAGTTTCGATAGTCAATGAAACGAGCTTTCAGAAACTGTAATATAATTGAAAATCGGTTGAGGAAATTGAAAGTTATGATGATCCAAATTTGATCGAAAAAATGCGATTTTACGTTTCATGTGTTAAGCAGTTCATTTGGGGAGTCGTTTCTATGTTTAGATCCATAATATTGACATAGATTAAAATCTATGATATTGATAAAGTAGTATTGAATGAATACATACTGGAACAAACTCGAGCTGGCATAAGATCAGGGAGCAGGGAGGTAGGTATGTGATCTAATTGTTTTCGTCTTTACTGACCTGTATTGCTGTAGTAACATGACAAGGATTCAGTAAATATATCACAGTTCTAGACGAGAACTTGTAGCCGATCTCCATGCCCCACACGACACACATGGCCACCAGCAGGGCCCTGCGGCCGCCCCTGTCCCTTCTGACGTACGCAGCCGTGGGCAGGGTCAGATGCGCGCTGCTCCATCTAGCGAGCGCGACGGACACCACGATTACCAGAGCGGTGTCGACGTAGCGCCACGTGGGGTGGAGAAATCCGGCGCATTCCGGCCCTGCGTTGCGCGGCACAGTCTTGTTCACGCCGCCGACGGCCCAATCCCAATCCATCGTTTTCACCTGGAATTACCATTATTACTTATTTCGATATTTCATTGTTACGTTGTTTCGTTGTTACCTAATTTTGTTATTTCGTTATTTTGTAATTCCGTAATTTCTTAGTTTTAAAATTTCGTTATTTCGTAAGGTCGTTGTTTCGTTATTTGTGATCTTGTAATTTCGTGATTTCGTTATTTTGTATTTTCCTAATTTTCTAATTTCCTAATTTCCCAATTCCCTAATTTTGTAAAATCGTAGTTTACTGATTTCGTAATTTACTAATTTCGTAAGTTTTTCAATTTCGTTATGACATTTTGTCATTGTGTTATTTTGATTTCTTGTTATTTCGTCATTTTGTTATTTTGCTATTTCGAAATTGTTATTTCGCTATTTCGTAATTGTTATTTCGTTATTTCGTAATTTCACAATTTCGTAATTTCGTAATTTGGTAATTACGTAATTTCGTAATTTTGAAATTTCGTAATTACATGATTTCGTTATTTTGCAATTTCGTTATCACATCACGTCATTTATCGTCATTGTGTTATTTTGAGTTCTATTGTTATCTCGTCATTTCGTTATTTCTCTATTTATTTCTCTCTCGTTATTTTAGTAATTTGGTAATCTCCTAATTTCGTAATGTCGTTATTTCGTAATGTCGTAATTTCGTAATTTCGCAATTTTATATTTTCTTAATTTCGTAATTCCAATATTTCGTTATTTCGTACCTACCTATATGTTGGAAAAATAATTCTCAATTTTAATGGACAATAAATACGTAATTTCAATATGTATATCTGCTTCGACAACAATCGTAGAAAAAGCAAATCGAAAGTCACGTTTCGACGGTGGAAATGCAATAGCACAAATCTACACTTTTTTTCAAAATTGTTTTAATCACCAGAACATGTCTCCACGATTAGTTCATACACTAGTCGAGTGATGGCTGCCTAATCGATGCAGAGATATATTTTGTGTCTGCAATAGCAACTTCGAAAAACATGGCTTACACAAAGGCTTACACCCTTATTACACTGACATATCTAGTTGGGTGCACTCACAATGTTTCCATTTTAAATAGATTTCATGGATATTTCGATCAATTATTTGTATAGTAATAAGCTTATTGTTCAACAAAATATTTACTGGTATTTGTTTTTTGATTTTTTTTCATCATAACTCGTTTGTGAGTCTTTGAATTACCACTATGTAGTTACGTTGTATTGCAAATTCCCGTTTTCACTGACCTAGAATATCTGAACTTACGAGGCAATTCAAGGCATTATGGAATAGTTATTATATCTACGCAACCAGTTAGGAAACGCGTCATTTTGTATGACGATGTGACGTGCAATATTTTTTCTGAATTTGCTGAAAACTTTAGCTTGAACGAGAAAAATGACCGGTTCTACATGAGTTTTACCGATTATGTACAAAATATAGTAGGCAAGTTGACTTCCTATCTTCCTAAGTCACTTTGAAGTATTCGTCAAACAATAATAGTCACAAATCAGCATTTTGAGATATATTTTGTTCTCAAGCTTCCCCCACCATTATTATTGAAGATACGAAAAAAAGTGTGAGAACAAAACAAGGATGAAGTATATAATGATCTTTTATTTTTCGTTATCAAAAAATTACTTTACTCAGCGATTTTCTGAGATAATTCGAATTTCTCGTCGTATATCATATTAACTTCGCCGCCAACCGGTCATTTTAGAAACTTGAAGATATTTTGAATCAACTTCTCATCGCTGGTTTCCTCAATAGATTTTTTTCCCGAAGCTGTAATGTTTATGGTTTCCATAATATCGTACCTCGTCGACCTTAGTGAGACACCCTGTATACTATGATACAAAGTAATATTTTTCAAGAATTTGATGCTTATACATTCGAATTTGGATGTTTGTATGTCAAATTCTAAGGAGCCACAACATTTTTTTATTACATTTTTAGTGTGAATTCCTGAACAAACTATTATGGATTTTTCATTAAGGTGCAACCTTTCGACATCGATTTCATCTCTAAATCGATTATGAAATACTACGCGATTTACTTAGGGAATACCTATAAAGTCACTCAACATAATATTGTCCCTCTATTCTCACTTTGAATGTTTCCCCTCTATTTCAGTTTATTCTTAATAGTCATTGGATCCCAACTAAATTAGGACTATGAAATTTGAACATCGATATAATAATATTTTCTGGAGGTCAACTTTTCAAAATCATAGTCCTGTGGTCAAGTCGTATATCACTTGAAAGAGCTAAAGTGTTATAGCGAAAGGTATGAGAAGTTTTTCACACAGCATTGATATGTGAATTTCTGTTATATGATAAATGTAGGTATGTATAATAATATTTTGAGGAGGTCAACTTTTTTCAAAATCATTTAGTCCTGTGGTCAAAAGTATATGTCACTTGAACAAGCTAAAGTGTTAGCGAAGGGTGTGAGAAGTTTTTCACACAGCATTAATACATACCTAGGTGAATTTCTGTTATATAATAAATGTAGGTATGATTATATATATCATACTTATATTTTTTTCAACATTCTTAGTACAAAAGTTTTTGGAAAAATGAGTATTGTGAGGAAATTTTTGAATACCGAGAAGTAAGTTCCTATAGGTATAGTGTGGGCAAACTACTCGGTTGCAATGGACACTAATTAAATCGCTTTACAAAAACTAGGAACATATTACCCTTTCCCAATCGTACTCACCCAATTTCACATTTTCCTCGTTATTTTCATCTTCACCAGCAATGGAACTTTCCACGTTTTTCCTGTGACGTGTCCTGTGTTGGCATGTTCAAACGGTACGTCACAGGTGTTTCAATTGAAAATTATTGCAGCGATATCGATGCAGGAAAGCGCATTGCTGCACCCGAAGCTTTTCCAGGACTGTGTCAGTGTGTCACGCCGGAAAAATGCATCGGATCGGATTCCTATCCTCGAACAAGGTTGGTAGAATTGATGACCAACTTTGTCCTCGAATTGGCCAAGCGCCCTCTGTCGCATCATTCAGAAACTAAGGCTGCTCTCTGCATTCTCAACATAACTGAACAATTTCATGTATGGCGGTTATCGAATTTCATTGGGAGTTGGTAACTTCAACCTCTGCTTCAACTCCGATTCAGGGACGCCATCTATAGGTGTATTTTCGGTTTTCAGTCTCTTCATCGACAGATTCTTCCAGTGCCAACTGGAAAAATATATCGACGATGATTATATAAAGGGCTGTTTGGACGATGATGTTTCTGTAAGAAGTTATGCAGATGTCACTGATAGCAAAATCTTATATCTTTGATATAGTTGAAAACAAATACTTTCTGTTGTTTTTTAAATGTATGATAAATTGACATTCATCATACAGGACGTGGAAAGAAATTCTGAATTGAGAAAAAAACCTAATCACGAAGTTTCCATCGTTCAAGTTCGAACCCCTTGATTGGGTGAAAGTATATAGAAATGTAACATTCTCAGATATATCTATGAACACAAAAAAATAGATATATATATAAAGAAATACATTGAGAATTCGCATTCTCCATGTTATGAAAATATCTATTCTTTTACGGTTTATTCAACAGGAAACAACTACTTTCCAGGCTATTTGCCCATCAAGATCGGAGTTCATACAAGTATATTTCTCCTACACATTTCAATTTTCATTTCAATACTGAACATATCGGTAAGTTATATTTTTATATCATATTATTCTATTCGAATTGAGAGACGATGTTAATTATCTATTTCAGAGGATTTTCATCTTTCATGATCTCTTTTTGGATATTCAACACTTTTTCTTTCCACGTCCTGTTATGATGAATATCAATTTATCATACATCCAAAGAGTAAATTTATATTCAATTCTTACATATTATTCATCATTCTACTACTAAGTTTTCTTTGTTGATTATATTGCCTGTTCTGTAATTGGGTGTAAAACCTGTTTGGACAATAAACGGTTTTTTTAATATCTATGTAGTTTGCGTAAGCTGAGGATTTTGTCTTTTTGTTATGAAGAGATCTTTCTAGTATCTATGTCCATAGATTATGTCGTTTGCGTTTATGAATATCCTTAATTTTTTTCGATCAGTTTATTTTTCTCCTATGGTTACTTGAAACTCATTATCAATTTCTGGGGTCGTGGAATTCTATAGGTGGAGTATACCGTATAACTTCAGTCCCTATATAACTGAATTTACTGATTCGCCTGGCCTGTGAATCAGAATTGTATTGTTCTGGCTGATGTTCTGAGCAAACATCGAGTCGAATAAAGAATTGAGTGTATATAAGAAAAACAAATACTGAGACATACAGCGTGTCTCACTTTGTAGTCCTACGATTTTCACCAAATCTGGACTGGTATGAATAACCAACAATGAAATGATCAGTTTCTCATTTCATTATCATGGACAGTTAAGAACGTTTCCATTGAAATGAAAATGAGTCGATTTTCAAAATAATGTCATAGTATTGTTCCTCATGCTTTCGAATGTCCATATACAATTTCATTTTTGAATTTTTAACCTCAAAAAAATGATGATTAGAAAATTGAATCCTAGGCAACAACGCCAGTTCTCATCTATCTAGTTTGGAAACAAGACTTTCCCGTCGAATGTGTCCAGATTCCTTGTTTTTGATTGCGCTTTCGCCAAAAAATACAATCGTTTGGCTCTCACCAAATGTGAGCTAAACTTCCACCAAAATCTATCAGGATAGGAGCAGCTACAGACACATGCGTTTCATTGCACATCATAGTTTATATTATAGCGTTACCAATAATTCAGAATCCATATCATCAGCAACAAACTGACAAACCATGTTTCTATGGAGAATATAGTCATCCCATCTTGCGATTCTCTATTACTTTAATGATTTCTGAAAAAATAATTTATAAAAATCCCACTTTGTATGTTTTTCGCATTTTATCTTCTGGTTGAATTTTCCAATCGTGAAAGATGGTAAAACCGAAAATTTTCAGAGGCTACTACTCTGCTGCTCATTTC